AACCAGTGAATGACAAAAGACAGACAATAGAAGAATTTTTTGAATTTAAGAACTAGCGAAAGAGCTAAACATTTGCATAGCCATTATTTCGACTGAAACTTCCTTTAAATGTGTTTCCTTTCAAGCTAGCATACGTGAAAAGTGACCTCTTATCCACTTACATACCTACCCAGAAGTCATGTGATAGCGTTTTACGTCAAGCTGTCAATTATGATAACAGACACAATAAGAACAGCCCAAGTGTTGATAGCCTGCTTCCTGACTGTATTGAAAAGTTTGTTGATAGTCCACTTGTGTCCTTTTAATTGCTTGCCTCTAATAAATGACTACCTTTCCAGTGGTAGTACCAAGCTTTGGCTTTGCCATTTGCCACGACAAATATTATAAGAAGATTTAAACTAATATCTTATTTTTAAAAAAATCCTACAGAGGTAATTTCTTAAAAAGGCCATTTTGTGTAACAGAAATTTTCAGTGCAATGAGAAGTACTTTCAAATTCTAGTTTTAAAAACAAAAGTGTATAAGAAAAGTGTTGAAACAATTTAAATATAAACTAAATGAGTAATTGAAATTCAAATAACAGCATTATATAGTCATGCAAGAGATGTAACATGCTGAAGCCCAAGCACCAATAAAATCCATGCAATTGTGAGAAGTAATGCAAAGACCTGAATTGATCAGGCCACTGATTCATTAGCTCTTATTATAGGTAATATATGTATAGTCAGGATATTATAATTTGAGATTATGAAAATGAGACTGATTTCTTATAAACTAGACTTTACTTGACTTTATTGTCTCACTTAGGGAAGGCAAAAGTGGGCTCCTAATTTACTCTATTGAAATCTCAAATATACATCAAAAATTAATAAGTACTTTGATGGCTTGTTCGAATGGTGAAATTTTATTTCTAAACAAGAAGCTTCTTAGCTGCAAACTTTTATTTGCAACTTACAATGAGATTTTTAAATATATGTTGATGTACAACAGTAATAATTTAGGCTCTTATTATGACCTTAGACTCAAATGTAATGGTGATAATCAAATTAGCCAGATTCTCTTGTATTAATACTACCAAACTTTCTATGATAGCAAAGGAAGGAGGCCTGAAATTAGCAACTCACTATAAGGTTGACCAGATAAGAAACTGGTGCTAATTCAAGTAAGTTGTCTCATATTATTTATCCATGCTAAAATTGTTAGACTGAATTATAAAATAATTTCTATATTTTCTAAGCAACATCCAACACTCTGATTGATAGCTCCATTTTCTCAGGGAGATAAAATTTGGGAAATGTGGTTCCTTCATTTCCTATCATAATGAATTTGCACAATGTGTTCATGAATTATAACGTATGAGAGAGAAAAGGATATACTATATTTTACTAAACTTTATGAAGTTAAGTCGCAGGAGGGGGTGTTCCACATTTCTGAAAATGTTCCAAACCATAAAAAGACATTTCTCAGCAGAGACTAATGAGTTCAGTTTGCCAAAGCAGGACCCATGAGTTCTTCAAGCCACCAAAACCATCTTCCAATAGAAAAGAAGAATGAAGCTCCAGTTGAAGTTCTGATTTTAAGATTTCCCCCATGCCAATAGCAAATGCCAATAATCCCAATAAAAAGCCAATAATCCCAAAGACAGACTAGTTCTAAACTTGAAAAGGATTCAAGATTGTGTTAAGAGATAAAGAAAAAAGTCTAAAGTCAAATACTGATCAGCTGGTATGGTGCTGACTGTTATGACTGATTAGACAGGATTATTTTTAATGGCAGATTATCAACTGGTTTACATGAACCTTTTTGAAATAGTCTTCATGACTATGTGAATTTATTTTTAGATTCAAATGAGATCTATTTTCAATGATAGGTGAACTTCCTTCCAGTCAGAATAAACTAGTATTCCCAAGCAGTTAGCAACCAATGTCATCAGCAATAATTATTATAAAAAGGAGCAGAAAGATGTATAATTACTAATAACAATTGTCTGTGTACCAAGCAAATGATATAAAAGTGTATACTTTTAGTATTCAGATTTGACAATATGAATGTATTACTCTTACAGGTGAAGTACAGGGTTCATTTTAACATTATAAAGCTTTTCATCTTAATTTGATAATGCTAGTATGCTTATGTATTAGAAAATGACCATATTGGAAATTCCACTGTAGTATCATCTTGTGGAAAGATTATTTATAAAATAGTCAAAATTACACAACAACTTTAAATTTATCATTAACTCTAATTTATGTAGACTGTATTAAAGTTCTTTTCTAAGAAAACAACATTCAAAACTACACATCAGTACTTTTCATAATCTAAAAGGATAAATCTTTACAAAGCAGCCACCATGAACTGAAGAATGTACCTGGTGACGATATTTATTCTTAAAGGGTCATGTATATTAAAGGCTATAGGGAATGTTTAAAAGAAGCCTCTCAGACTAAAGCACTGCCTTTCTAATTTTGAATTTCTTCTAGCTAATATAACATGATTGATTACCTTTATTTCATGTACCCCTTGATTTTCCTTTTCATTCATCATTGAGTGCTTTAAACCAAATGCATTGAGAAACTGCCTCTAGAAGAGTAGTCTCTTTTAAATCTTTGCAAAGTAATGAAAGGACACAGTAAATCAATCTCATTTCTATTGAAGGAAAGAATAATCTTTGCTGAAGTCATTTAAACTATTTCTGTCTCTTTATTCCTGGATAGTAAACATAAAACTTCATTTCTATAATTCTTTTAAAATTTGAAAAGCTAAAATGAATAGGCTTTTGACTCTAGCCTTAGTTTACTACTATACATCTATAGCAAGATATGCATTTATAGGTATTTTCTGCATGCCTCAAAGCTGGAGTTCATTATAAAATAAAGCATATATGGGCTTCTTCAATTAAAAAGCACTAACTCTTTTATTACATATAGAGGACAAATTATCTATCTACATGGTATTTAACATTTTTAGCTATAAAGAACATATGGGTTTTTTTTTGCTTCCAAGGATTAATATATATCATGTATTCCATAAGTATTAACCATAGTTGACTGAACAAAAGGTATTCATATTGTAAGTGGTCTTGATTCAATGTTGTCCACTTAAATAAGTGGCTGTCTTCTTTGATTTTAAAATAGTTTATAGTTCTAGAACTCATAGTTTTTAAAATATATCATGTGCCAGAATGCTATCTACATTAAAATTCATATTTTCATGATGCTTGTTAAGTTTTCTTGATGTATTTTTAGATACCTGAAAGGAGAAGTAACTCTTATATTAACGGACTTTTGTAATCATAATTACATGAGGTTTCAACATTTATCATAAGGGATAAGAAAATTAAAGCTGCCATAGGTTAGGGTAGTGGAGGAGGAAGGCTGCCTCCAAATACATGGAATTGGTTAGAGTATTCTAACTAGCATTTGGGGTTAAAGGTTTAAATAATGGAGGCATGTTTTATGAATTAAAAATTAACTGGAAATTAGAGATGTGTCATAAAGAATAATGCAAGTCCCATGAGAAAAGTATTCCTGAGAATATGTGTAATGATTTTTAAAAGAACAAGTTTCCAAACCTATACATCCTGCATATGTTTTTTAAAAAATACAATGGACACATACATTTGTCAAATAGAACCATATTATAGTAATTATAATTCATTTCATATTATAGCAATTTTAGAGGTGGAAAAAAAAAGCAACATTCCAGAGAATTATGTTGAAAAGCCAATGGCTAGCAAAACCACTAATTATTATTTGGTATTTTCATAACTGTGTACAGATGTTTTCAGTTAGTTCTCACTCTTTTGGTTTATTTTGTTTTGCTTTTTTTAAACCTGGCAAAACATCAAGTATCCTGAATAAGCTATCATCTTTATGATTTTCTCTGAGCTCTGCATGTGGTAACCTTTAATATGCAGTCTGCCCCCTTGGACTGCAACTGGAAAGGACTTGAGAACTCTACACCAAGCAGAGTTGAGGTAGGCCACAACAAGGGTATGTGAGGTGAACAGATCTAGAACGAAGTGGGCAAAAGTATCTTACTACCTATACAAAAACTCATATATGCACAGACAATTTATAAATATAGAGCAAGTTAGTTAACACCAGCTCTTTATTATTTATTATAGCCTAATTTTCCCCTATGTAATATTTGGCATACTGTTAATTTCAAACTGCTCTGCTATCATAACTTGAGAGCAGCAAATATATGCATCATAAAATATATTTAAATTCGGAACTGTTTAGAATTATTTCTGTTATCCTATAACTAGAACTGTGGGATTTCTACACTGGTATGGTCCATTCTTTTGACTGTGGTTGATCTGTTTATAAGCCACCATTAATCCTGGCTGTATATTTTCACAGTTTGGGTAAACACTTCATTTGCATTAAATTTACAGCATTAATGAGATGTGAAATTTAAAATGCTACTAGAAACATAAATGATGTAAGAAAGCAGAACCAAAAAAAGTGTTTTATCACATCTGAAATCAGTAAACCAATTTAAAGCTATTAAAATAGGAATGAAGTGTCGCCTGAGATTTTAGCTTCATAACTCATCATCTTGGACTAAAATACAAATGTGAAGAGCAAAACATCTGGAAAATACGAAATCACTCAAAAACTCGAATTATATACTGCTTCTATTCGAGTTGGCTTTTAAAACAGTTTGCAGTTTTTGTCTTTGAAAGCTATAGTCTAGGAAGTTCTCAATAGCCAATGAGACTGAGAAAAATACACTTTGGCTGAAACACTATTACTCGTGGATGTTATCAATATATGCTACAGAGATGGAAAAGGTCATGAGCCAATTTGAGAAACTCTGCTCAAAGAGGTGAGAAACAAAGGATCAATGAGAAAAAATTCTGGGAAATGAAATGATCAGTTTTGGTCTCAGAAGCCCCGGGAGCCCCCTTCTGAGTCCGGATCTGAGAGGCAACATGGAGAAGCACGGAAGCGAAAGCGTGGCTACACCGTCACACCTGGGTGAAACTTGCCCACCTGTTGCTGATGTAGGAAGGATGGGTCTCTTGGGCTTAGTCCCACATATCGATTGGCTTGAGATGTGCCTGAGGCTGTGTAGGCTGATTAAGGAAGAACAAAAACAAAGATAAAAATTGTGAACTATCAGAACGAACACCCTGTCCATGTATAAGAAACCCAGAGAAGTGGGATTTGCAACCAAAAAAAAAGTGTCTTCATTTCTCTTCTAAGTAAATACCAAGTGATAGAAAAGAAATAATAATTGATTTCAAATCACCTAGTTTATTCCCCCTAAAAAATCTATCCAGTAAAGCAGATCTTATACTTCAGTGTGGGTGTCTCACACTTACATGCTGTAGTAACTGTCCTGCTGTACTTTTTCACCAGACATTAGTTGTCTAATATGAAATAATCAATGATGGTATATGATTCTAAATGTAAAGCAGACTGAAATTCCACCAGGAAAAAGTGACAGTTTTTAATGATGGAATTTAAGCAGATGTGCTTAATGATATGGGATGGAAAATGTCTTACTTAAAAGTCTTGCTAAAAAGGAAATCAAATCTTACTATTATGAAGGAGGAGCCTATATCATGTAGAATGAATTAGCTCGGTATTTTACTTGTGAAAATGGCCTCCAGTCTGATAGGAATGTTTTTGAAAAAAATACTTCCCATTAGCACAAATACAAAAATCAATTTCTTGTAATTGATCCAGGAAGGAAGCTGATGCACCCTTTAAATAGTTGGCCACTAGGTAGTAAGTATATATGGTGACTATTCCTTATATTGTTAGAGTCTCATTTGCAAGTACTTTTTGTACAATTGCTTTTTGCTTTTTGGTAGACAGTAAATTTTTCACATACACACACACAAGAAAAATGAATAGGGAGCTACTCCTAAAGACTTTTGTTATTTTTCACAAGGAAAGGAGTAAGGTATCATCCCAGAATTAGACAATCCCACTGCTCCATATTACCATATATTACCTTTATTGTTGTGAAGAAAGCTACACTGTTTGGTTTAAAACCACCAGATTAATGAAGAATCCAGGCTTCATTTTAAATGGGCTGGCTTTCTAAAACCAATATATTAATTCTGCCTTGTTCACTTAAAGGACTGCAGAATTTGATCCATGGAAGCTTTTTTAGGTCAACTTTTTAAAAACAGTGAAGATGCTCACAATTCATATTTTAATTGCTCCTGAATAAGGGGCTATGCAAGGCAGTCATCAGCAACCAGTGATCCCTACTCAAGCTCCAAGTCTCTGGAATTCACCACACCTCACAGACAGCCGGAGAGGAGCCTCACCCTTACAGAAGAGCACCAAATCTATGCTGCCTTTTCTTTTCAACTGTGAGGAAGAGCTTTCCTTGGCTTCTGTGTTTTCTTTAACCATACTACTGTATCAATTCAATGATCAGCCTTTTATTACTGGTGGTGACTAGGAAGCTGGAGCTACAAGCTTGTTTATAGGAAAGAAAAACTACTCACTATGTTTCTTTTATGTAGGAGTGGAAAATGGACTGATGCAGCCATCTTTATACAACCAAGATATTCCTTTTGAATATTTTGTAATTTTACTAGTCAAATCAGATCCCTTTTTGAACAACCTGTATGTAAGTATAAAAACAATTCATTAACAAACAGGCTGAGGGTACTCCCATAAGTGAGCTGTGATCATTTGGGTCTGATCCTCTCCTGAATCTCTTCTATTAATAACTTCATAAGAGTAGGCATCAGAGTTTCTAGAACTTGGTTTTGATCATTTATCCTGTGATAATCTTTCAACTACTTTAAAAAAAAATCTGTTTTCTATGTGCTTTTATTTAAATTGCTGACATTGCTTGCTCAAAGATGTCAAGACATCCACTTTTAAAATTAGTACTTAGTGTTTTGGTGACTGTAATGCACATAGCAAACTTTTAGAACAAAATAACTTTTAGATTTTCCTGAGTGGGTCGCATCCATCTGTGCATTCAGGGAAGTGTTCTAAGCATTAAGAATTACTGATGGGTATTACAAGCCTATAGGAACTTATTAATTTATAGGGCTCATGAATTTTGAGAAAGAAATGCTGAATTCACTGTACAAAGTATTGTCCATTTTTCTTATAGGGTTCCTTTGTAGTCTTTTAGAAACCATTAAAAAAAAAAAAAAAGAGCATCTTTCCAATGGCTGAGAAAGAGCCAGTGGTGCATGCCTCTGATTGTCTCTGATTCACATGGAAATTTCAAGATCATGGGGATTTTCTTGCTCTAAGAAAGAAAAATAAAATATTTGAATTTAAGATATCTGTATAGTTGGTGAGGTGCAGCCTAATTCCACCAATTCCATAGCTTTATCCATTCTACTTCACCAATTTGTACATTCCAGCTCCAGTACTAAAAAGCTGACAGTTGGGTGAAACCACCTCAAAATTAATTTCTTCTATACTTCTGAGTATTTTACATCAAAAAACAAAGGAATGATGTGGCTTGTTGGTATATGTTAGGAAGGTTCACTGGCTAAATCTCTGACATTTAAATGTTATGTCCACACTAAAAAGCACAGTATTTGATGTACCATGATAGGTGAAATAATCAAAAGGTTTAAAAAAAAAAAGGTTGCAGATAATGAAAGTACAGGTAGCTTACATGTGCCTAATACTAAGTTTTGAAATGTTCTCATCTGTTCCCAACATTATGTGACTGTTTTTAACAATGACATAACCTACAATGATGTAAACATGCAATTACCTTACAGAGGCATTGAATCCATCTGCTTTGTGAAGGGGCTTGATTTCTATAGGAATGCTCCAATAAGTAGGAATTATCTAATCTCTCTTTGGGTGATAGGAAAACTTTGTATTCTGCGTTATGTTACTCAGTGCAATTTCAATGTATACCTTGAACAAGCAGGCATGACTTATTATTTTTGTTACAGCTGTTCACTTAAACAAATGAGCTTCTCCCTTTTCAAATATGATTCACTGACTGAAATTTGAGAAGAGAGAGCCTGTGATAGCAGGGCCACATCCATGCCTGCTGGCTCCACTTAAATGAGAAATCTCCATCTGGTCGGGTAGCTAGAAAAATTGCTGTGTTTTCCACCTTGGATCAGATATCCAATGGTGCCTTTGATGGACATTTCTCATTTCCTACAGATATACTTACTGGTTGCTGTAGGTGAAGCTGCCTCACCTTCAGTGGATGTAGTGATGGGTTTAGTATCTGTCATGCTCAGGGTCACAGGTCGCACTGCACTGGGATGGGGAGAGGGTGCCAAGACAGGAGTGAAATGGCCAGGCACTTTCCCTACTACTTGACCACTGCTGTTAGGCTACAAAACAAAAACAGAATGCCGGGTGAAGCAATCCAAAAGGCAGTCATCTTGTCCAACAAGTCCACTCAGCACACACGACTGTGTGGATCCAGCACACTGCACACAGGCGCCACACAGGCCCTCTCGAGTCGGAGTTGGAGAGGCCGGTCAATGGTTGGTAGTAATAAGGAGCAGTAGCATTTCAAAGGTTTTCATCTTCAAAGCACGTCATGGTATAGGTTAATTCCTCTTTACAGCACCCCTGAGAGCCAAGTAGACTTGATCCCTTCATGCAGTAGGCCAGGAAACTCAAGTGCAGTTTTAAACGCTTAGCTCAAAGGCTAAACTGGAATTCTTTACTGAACTAGCTAGAGTTGGAACCCAGTGATTCCTTATTCTCCACTCTTCATTTTCTACAATGAGTCAGTTTTGGCTTTTAGAACACAGTTTTCACCTACATGATGATATCACTGAAACAAAGGACACAAAAATATCTAGGAGATCAAACACATCGAATTCTGGAATCTTCACTATTTACAGTCAAGAGTCATTCTCCTGCATACAAAACTCTAGCTCTCTCACACACAGGTGTGCTCAGATGCACACATTAGGCAATTTAGATTCCGGGATCTACAGTCAACTTTTGATGATTACTAATACAAGAAGACAGAATGAGATTTAAAGCATCTGAACTTTCAGAGGTCATACAATGATATAAAATGCTGAGCTAGGTTTGTCCTTACACCTACAAATAAAAGATTTCCAAAGTAAATTAAATTGTACTGAGGGGAAGCAGAGGACAAGCAAATGAGCATTGTTATTTGAGTTACTCTTCCATCCATGTTGGTGCATGGAGAGTTACACAAAACATTTATTGTTGACATTTGTGGGAATTAACTGAGAAAATCCCCTGGGCAATGATAGAAAAGATATTATTATCTGAGTTTTAGCCCCTGGGTACAAAAATAGTTTCCGTGGTAGGAAACAAAATCCTAAGGATACACTCTTTGAAGAAATAGTGGAATATATTTTTCTAGACAGAGGATGTTATTTTTTTTATTATTATACCCATGTTGGAATTCTCCACTGCATGGTGTTCATCACAATTTGCTGGGAGGCTATTCTCAGCAAGTATATAGTCTTTATAATCTGAACTGTTAAAGGCAAAAAAAATAATAATAATAATGAAGCAGAATATTTATCTAAATATCTGCACATAAATTACAAGTAGACATTTATTTAGAGAAAAAGATGAAGAGCTAATAACACTTAAATACTGTGACTTAGAGACATGAACTAAGTCTTCGGCGAGGCTCCTCAGAGGCCACATTATTTATTCTATAAAGAAAATGGACTTCTTGAATATCCTGACTATTCATCATGGGTAATTTTAAGTATTTAACTTGATGTCAGGAAAATTGACCAGAGTTTTCCAATATGGAAACCTATGGGAGAGTTACATCTTTAAACTAATTTTATTCAAAATATTCCATTGAATAGCATGACTGTCTCACTATAATTGGTGCAGCAGTAATGCAATTAATCTCAAAATTGCTGTGGGGAGGAAAAGGCATCTCAGTTGCTTATCTTAAAAATCAAAATCAGTGCAGCGCTGGAGAATACTGGGAAGCAACGGCTGACTAGAGGTGAATGGTGAAGGAATACTGATTTTTTTCCATTTCTAGAGCTAAAACGGTAAATACCAAGAATTCTATTTTGAAATGCAAATTAATTGGTTTTGAGTTGGAGATAAAAATCAAAGCAAATATACTGTTCCTTAAAAAAAATCTGTAGTTAACTATAAAGACCCATTTTTCCTTTCAAAGGGAAAAAGTAGTTTGTTTCTACAGCAGACCATCCATTTCTCGTTATCTGAACATTGGAAATAAGTGCTTTAAACATCCTACTCAAGAAAGAAGACAGGTCTCATTTTATCATTGGTGGTACATTCAGTGGTAAAAATGCTTCTATATACAGTGTTCACCAAAACAGTTTGAAAGTACCTACCTGGAACAAAAGCAGAATGACAATAATTTCAAGGAAATGCTGCCACCAAATATATTATCCTATCCTGCCCATTCTATAAACTTCATCTACTGGAACTGAACAACATGAACTAATAGACACTTCTCTCATTTGAAAAGAATAAAGGTGACAAAGAAAGAATTCTCAAGCCAATGCAGACAACTTTCCTAAAACTCAGGGTCAGAAGAATTGAGGGCTATTTTCTCCTTAGTTTTCTACTGGTTCAAATAGACAAAGCTATACTAAAAATTTCTATCTTTTAAGGCTGTTAACAGATGGAACTTTCATACTGTAGATAGAAAAGAGAGATGTCTGGTCTGAAGGTGAAGCTAACAGCATTAGGAAAGGATTATTCTACCTTACACACGGTTCCTATTATACAAAATCCTGAGAGTTTTTTGTTGCTTTTTTTTTTTTTTGAGATGAGAGTAATATGCTTCTCTTAGAAGGTGATATGTATCTTGAAAAGTGAAGAAAAACTGAGAACAATATAGGCAGATTATCACCTAATATGCCCTCTTAACTTATAAAGAAATTGAAATATACGTAAAACAAGCACTGAATAATTAAAGAAATGTGTAACACTAAGGGCCTGATTTTAATTTGCATAATTTTTCCCCTAACAGTGCCTAATTAAGACATCAGTTAAAAAAAAAAATCCAATGGAACTCTAAGATTTTCCACACTGAATTAACGTTAAGGACTTTTAATGGATGTCTTAATTAGACTTTGTTATTCATGGAAATTCTACACAAATTAAAATCAGACCTTGTGTGCACTGTTCCCAGCTGAGTCTAGCAAAATGCTCTATGGAACTGAGACTTCTGAATCCATGCGCTGACAACAAATTTTATTTCTAAACGATATACTAAGATCCCACTCTTTTACTTAGCTGTCTTTAGTACTGCAGTCATGAAAAGTGCTACAACATTTTAACATTTTCTTCTAAAATACAAATAGTAATTTTAACTTCAAATTCAAAATTCAATATTGAGTTTAATGTCTTAGTCAAACTAAAAGTAATGATAACTTTTTAAGTAACCCAAAGGGTCCTGGATATGTTGTCATTCTAAATTAAAAGTTCAGAAAGGACCATTTTGTTTCATTTTAACAAATTAAGACCAAAGGGATTTTTTTCTCACCTTTCTTTGCTAATTATAAATTGATAGACACACACTATTTACTAGCATTTTAGGAAGTGTTCCTCTGTAGTAATGATAGAATGTTTGTGAATAATCTGCAAAGTATTAAAAGGTATAATAAGGAATGGACAGGAGTCTTAGAGGTAAAGCAGCAAAGCTAAATACTAGATCATAATAACAAAATTACATTACACGTTTTAGATATTACAATTATCGATAGCCCCAGGTCTGGTACAAAGACTGTCTACTTGATTGTGGAAAACGCTTAAATACCAAATTGCGATGAAGTAACCTCTTGGTAGAAGAAACCGCATGTCTAGGGGAGTGAGAAATGCTCATGAGTCACTACACTTACACAATGAATCCCAAAAACCACTGCACAATGTTTACAAAAAAAAAAAAAAAAAGAAAGACAGACGCTTCTAGTAATGTCACTCATTATTAAATGTAAGTCATGTCTCTACAAAGAATATTCAAGTAGTCATCAAACACTGAAAATGTTTACATTACCAAAGCTTATTTTAATACCTAATAGTTGGTCTACAAATACAACTGTAAGTTCTTTTGTGTGTGTTTATTTTAGCACATACCTTACTCCTGCCTGAAATAAGCACATTGTCTCTGTGTCAAATCAGGTATTTCAGAGGTGTGAACTCCAGCCCAGAGCTTTCCTGTCAATGTACTTTCTGCATAAACTTTCCCTTTAGTCAATGAAAATCCAAAAACATTAAACCATCTTCACAAATTTACCCTTTGGGGCAACACACTTCCTACCTGTCATTCAGCCACCTTTAAATAAAAACTTATTGAGTCACCAAGCAACTTCCTGAAGATGGATTTCAAGGCTTGACGTTCTGCCAGACACACTGTCTGACTAACCTTTGTGTCTCAGAATTAGACCTGTCCCATCTCCCTTAGGTGCTAATCTTATTTTCTCTCTTATTTTTACCTGGCTGGTTTGTGGACTGGATGGGTCATACGAAGGTACATAGTTCTTCAGAGTATCCTGAGGATTCAGGTGGGGAGGATATCTGATTGTTGGATGAGAAAAGTAGCTTGATGGGGCTGGAGGAAGGATAGCTTGTGTTGGAAATGGCAACGGTGAGGGTGGAGGTGGAGTTCGAGTTGAGATGACTGCAGAAGACAGAAAAGGAAAGATTGACTCGTCAGCTGGTTACCTTATTGGTCCATTCTGATCCTAAAGAATGCTGTGAAACTACAAAACTGGTAACCATTCATTTTTGTCGCCATGATGTAACCAAGCTCTCCTAAAACAAGTTACTTCTTCACTTTTATTCTCAACACCAGTACTGCTAACTACACAGAGACAAAACATCACTCTAGAAAATGAACAATCTTGCTTCCCAGCTCTGTGAGTGGTTACAAAATAAGTTTCTCTTTTATAGGTTACATCAATACTTGATAAAACACTTCTTTGAGCGTTTATATCCCATTGAAAACATATTCTTTGATTATAAAATCTTTAGGCCAGGTGCAGTACCTCACACCTGTAATACCAGCACTTTGGGTGGCCGAGGCGGGTGGATCACCTGAGGTAAGGAGTTCGAGACCAGCCTGACCAACATGGCAAAAACCCATCTCTACTGAAAATACAAAAATTAGCTGAGCATGGTGGTGTGTGCCTGTAATCCCAGCTACTTGGGAGCTTAAGGCAGGAGAATCACTTGAATCCAGGAGACAAGAGATTGCAGGGAGCTGAGATCGCACCACTGCACTCCAACCTGGTGACAGAATAAGACTCCGTTTCAAACAAACAAACAAACAAACAACACTTTGTCTTGTAAGTCCAGAGCAAATCACAGCATTAAGTAGAGGGCAAAAGAACCACAAATTTTCTGCCAAACTTAAAAAGTGAAATTCAATTTCAAATAAATCATTTCCCTATACATCCTACCTGGCAGTTGTTTAGAAGGAAAGACAATAACTAATACAACATCATCTCATGACATTTATAATTGTCTGGTCATAGTATAAATGCTTATGAACATTGGAACATAGAGCTGGAAACTCTCCTAATGAAAATGTTTCTTTCAAAACCAAAAGAGCTCTATTCTGCGACTATTTTTCTTTCTACTTTAACTTTTACTATATGTTGTTTAAAAGATACTGTTAATGTAAAATCAAGAATAAAACACACATCACTGAAAATTTAAACTTTCATATAGGTAAGTATATCACTCTACCCATAAATCATATATTTCATAATATTTTTATAAAGGGAAATACTATATAAAACACATGCAATGTGGACAATGTTCAATTTTACTATAACTTTTCAACATTAGTATTCTTATAATTTATTGTTCAGTTTTTGAAATATAAATCTTAAGTTTGAAAGATGGGGAAAGAGTATAATCATGTGATCATTATCTCTATAATGTTGAGAGAAATAATCATAGAAATACAAATTAAAACTACCAACAAATATATGTAGAGGTGAAGAGTAAATGTCTTTCCATTTAATATTTCCCAATTCAAATGATAGGAAATTATAAATGATAAATGTCTAATGTTTTATGAGACAACTTAACAAAGAATATGAAAAAAAAAAAAATTCTAACCATAACCTATAAAGGGAAATCACCTGGAATGATTTATCTCCAACTTTCAAACTATGTGGGTTGTGGGTAGGGTGACCTGTTTGTGGGATGTATTGCTTACCTCTCCCAAAAAAAACTTTTTCAGAAAATACAAGAAATTAAGAATGTATATAATAGAAGAAACATAAATTCAATTTTATAGTCGCAACTTTGTTCTCTGAATGTCCACCAGGGCACTGTTTCTGAGAATTGTCTGTATTGCTCTTACAATACAGACCCCTTGGTCTACACACAGACCTAGGGGATCAGGACCTCTAGGGGTGAGGCACCAAAATGTATGTTTTAAATAAGTTCCCAGGTAATCTTCCTACATACTGAAGTTTCAGCATCCTCCATCAAATGTATGCATTTCAGAGAACAAATACATATTTCTTAAAACAAAACTCTTTACTGAAATATTACTTTATTTAAGAAATACATCCATTTGAAAGTATCATTTAAGGAAATACAAACATCTAACAAAAACTGGGCATCTTTTACTTAGTGTCTAAGTGCTCTTAATCTCAGCTCATTTTAACCACGATTTTTGCTCACATCTGTACACAAACCCTGGAAAGATATAAACATAGTTCCATCTTGGGTCCTTTAGGTTTTGAGATTAATTTGGCCTTAACAGTTCTGGAGGAGATCTCTTTTCAACTGAAATTGCAGAAATCAAATCCGAACTCAAATCTACGGGCAACCTGACATGGTGCTTGCGTGAGCTGTAGGTGGCCTGATATAACTGGGTAAAATGTCGTATTTCAAACTGAGAGTAAAAATGACTACCTTTTCCATAAAAGCCATTCTAGTCCTCTAAAAATAAGAAAAGCAGGCCAGGCACGGTGACTCACGGCTGTAATCCCAGCACTGTGGGAGGTCGAGGTGGGTGGAGTGGATCACTTGAGGTCAGAAGTTCGAGATCAGCCTGGCCAACATGGTGAAACCCCATCTCTACTAAAAATATACAAAAATTAGCTGGGCGTGGTGGTGACTGCCTATAATCCCAGTTACTCGGGAGGCCGAGGCAAGAGAATTACTTGAACCTGGGAGGCAGAGGTTGCAGTGAGCCAAGATCACGCCACTGCACTCCAACCTGGGCGACAGAGTAAGACCCTGTCTCAAAAAAAAAAAAAAAAAAAAATAGAAAAAGAAAAAAAATAAGAAAAGCAAAATACAAGACAAAAAAAGTTTTCCTTTATAAGGAAAGTTTCATAAGTTTTCCTTATGAAAGAATAAATACATACACACATATGTGTATTCTTTGCATACATTATTGAAAAGCCTTAATTGTCTTCTTTCCTTCAGTCTTGCTCCTTCCAATACATTCTTTACAGTGCTATGTGAATGACTTTTTAAAAATACCATTACAATCATGTAACTTCTCTGCTAAAAATATTTCAATGGCTTCCTACTGCTTCCAGAATAAAATCCCAACAGCTTTTTCAGTACACACAACCTCATGTGCTCTGCGACCGAGTCCTGGATCACTTCTTTGGCCTCATCTCTGGCCAGAAGAAGAGATTTGTGGATCCTTGGCTATATGGCAGTTCCCTGCTGCAATGGCCTCTAATGCACTGATAGATGCTGTTGCCTCTGCCTCCCAGTTTGCCCATCTGCCTCCCAGTTTGCCCCTTTTCCTCCTAGTTAGCCTCTCTGCCTCCCAGCTTGCCCCTCTTCCTCCTAGTTTGCCCCTATGCCTCCATGTTGCCCCTCTTCCTCCTAGTACGTCCCTCTGCCTCCCAGGTTGCCCCTCTTCCTCCTAGTTTATTGTTCCTTCTTGTGGTGAACTTTGCCATCACACTTCTTCAGGTTATCTAATCCTTCTTCAGGTTATCTAGTCATGTTCAGATTAGATGCCCAGCCAATGACATGGCCCCATTCTCTCCCTACTATATCCTGAACTCTTTAAGGGCAGAAAAGATCTTTTGTGAACAAGATGCCTACCACAGGTCCTAATATACAGATACAAAACAAATACCGGGTGAAGGACCAAAATGGAGGGCTCATCTAGGTCTCTCCTCTTTCATTATATAAAAATATACTATCTACTTTTTTCACATGTTAGAAATAAGAATATTTTTATCAGGTGTCATAAATAATGGGTAATTTGACTTCTCAGTTAATTTTGTCCAAATATTCAACATTACAAACCTATGAAACAGTTATTGATTTTTTTTACCTATCTCAATGGTATAGGTAATAAATGCAAAAGTTCTTATACCACATTTAAGTTGTATAGTCCTCTCTCAATTTCATAATATTTTAATGATAGCAATAAAGGCCATGTATTTTTTAAGTATAGCACCAATAAATATCAACATATACTTACAAACCAAAGCTAATAAGGACTTTATTTTAAAATATGTTACATTGTTTGCATAAAGATTTAAAAACCAGATTTGATTAGTTAGAAGGATGAGGAAGTGCCTAACTATAAATTTTAACCAATAACAGTTTCACTATTAACATATATATGAATATATATATAAATATATATATATAACTTTTCCTACATAAAATGCAGTCTACTGCTCTCTAGGAATTAAGAGCAATAGGTAAAAAGTATACCATGTTAATTATTAGCAGTATCTCATTTTTAATTTTTGAAAGATTTGATATTAACTGTTGGTTAAAGTACAAATGTCAAATATTAGATTCATTTTCCTACTTAAATTAAGATATTAGACACAATATCAAGTGTACTAGCCCAAAGGATTTGGGCATATGAAACAATTGTCAAAGAAAAGTACCTTTTATTCTCTGATTACTCTCAAATAGATAAATATCGATTTATATGTAGAAAATAACATCTACAGAAATAGTGCCTTTTATCTTAATGCCTTTAGAAATACTCTAAACTCAGCAACATAACTGAAATTCCATCTTTTCCTTAGTAAAATATCAGGACCAATCCTGAAGCTATAATAAAGACAGCTATGTACACATATTTTCCACATTCTTCTGATAACAATCTTTTTGATAAACGCAATTTTAAAATACATATTATAAATATTATTTACTTGTAAGACTTTGAAAATCTTATTTATTTATTTAATTTTTTTTGAGATGGAGTCTCGCTCCGTCACTCAGGCTGGAGTGCAGTAGTGTGATCTCAGCTCACTGCAACCTTTGCCTCCTGGGCTCAAGTGATTCTTCTGCATCAGCTTCCTGAGTAGCTGGGATTACAGGCACACACCACCATGCCAGGCTAATTTTTGTATTTTTAGTAGAGAGACGGTTTCACCATATTGGTCAGGCTGGTCTTGAACTCCTGACCTCGTGATCCGCCCACCTCAGCCTCCCAAAGTGCTAGGATTACAGGTGTGAGCCCCTGCACCCAGAGAAAATCTTTTCTCATCAATCGAGAAGAAAAAATATTTGATCGGATTGTGCCCCTCCCCATTTGGGTTGAGAAAATATGGTTGCCATAGCTATATTTATAAACTTTTGCTCCATCCCTAAGGTTGGGCCCTACAGACAAGAAGGAGGCTTCTCCTCTATGCTTGAAACTCCTCACCACTGTGTGCAACTCCAGGTATTCCGGGATGGTGGTGCTGGGGGAAAGTGCTCAGTCTTGGGGAAGAATCCTGTGGAGATGCAGAGCTGAACAATGGCTTTTCAGGCTTCTTCATAGTAGTTGGAGAAGACATATCTGCGAGAAACAGAGAAAAACCCAAAGCTCTATGACCTTCTTAAGCTCTAAGGTTCATGTCAACATGATGAGAGATCTCATCTTCCAACATTTTAGTATTCTCATACTTTGGCTCTTTTACAAAATATATTCTGAATGTCAATGATCCAGCTATATTGGAGCTCTGAAATATTCGTTCAATCTCCATGGAAGCTAGCAGAAGCCTTCATTAAAATTAGCATCAGACTTATTCCCATTACTAAATAAATCTTAAACTTCTAAAAAAAAAACCCAAAGTCTTGTTTCCTTTAGCCCCTTAGTTCACACAAAGGCCTTCTTTACCTCAGCATTTCATTCTTAAATTTATATGATTCAGAAGATTGTCTTTCGATCTGGCGACTACACTGTGAAAACAGAGGGCAACTGGTGCAAATGTGAAAAACAAACTTCAGGTATGTTGGTCACAATATTACTGATTTCACAGCTTTTATGGGAAACTCATTCAATTGGTTAGCAAAAAAAATACATTCCTTAATTTGCTCTTTCTGCAAACGTTTACTGGGTTTCTCTATTGGCCCGCGAAAATGAAGATGTTAAAGAAATTAAAAGTAATTCCTGCTCTAGGGATGCTCACTGTTGGTGAGGAGGAAAATGATGAGAAGAAAACGGTTGTGAACAGTTGAGAGGTACAATGTGTGTTGAGAGCATTTGCTGCTACATCCCCTACAGGACAGAGATCGTCTCAGTCTCCCCAGGATGAGGAAGGTATTTCCCATTCGCATCATTTTCAAAATGTGAATGGGGATGACATTCTCCGAGAGGAAATGCTCAGAAAAAAAAGATGGCATAAAATACACAAGTAAACAGTGTGTGGAGTGGTGAAAGATGAAGAGGAGCAAGCCTCTGGCAGGTCCCACAGGCTGTGGGGTCTCCAGCTTCCTGTGCAAACATCTGAATGCTTACCCTCATGGGAGAAACACCATAGATGGGCGAAACACGATCAAAATGACAGCTTAGAGCAATCCCCCCAGAAACCACATGGAGGGTGGACTGGCCAAAACAGAGACAGAAATCATGAAGACCGCTTTAGCAGATTCAGCAATACATTCATTCCATAAATACTTGTTCAAGACCGAATTTATGCCACACGCTGTACCAGCCTGGGACACAGTGGTGAACTGGACTCATTTTTGGCTCCTTTAAAGCTTAAAATCTAGTGAGGCGATATGGACAAGTAAGAAGGCATTGCAAAAGGTGCCGTGATAGGAAAATAATTCAGAGATTTCAGGCTTCCTTCATTCATTCTTTTCATAAATATTTAATACTGCCAAAAGATAGATCATGAGAGCTTGAAATAAGAATCATGATAGAGCTAATGCAATAAATATTTTAACAGGATTCACCCAATTAAATTATTAAGTGATGTAGACTGTTATCATCTTAGTTGACTAAGAGACTATACCATGCAGTTTGTTGGAATAAATAGGGAGTTTAGAGATGTGCCTTGCTTTTAACATCTTGAGTTATGTTGACTTTAATGGAAGTTTATCAACTTAGAGTAAAATGTTATAAAAATGATATGAGCTATAAAATTTGTATTTTATTATGAAAAATGTTAACTGTATTCACAAGCAGACAGAACTGTAATGAATCCTCATGCACCGATAACCCAACTTCGGCAATGATCAACTCATAACAAATCTTATTTCATCTTTATCCCTATCTACACTTTCTTTCCCTGTGGTACTTTGAAGCAAATCCCAGATATCATACAATATTGCTTCTAAGTATTTCAGCATGTATCTCTAAAAGAAAATAAATCTTTATTAAAAGAAAAAAAAACTGTATTACACATCAAAATGTACACAATTTGCACTTTTGAGTTTTTTTGAAATGAGAAAAAGACCTTATGGTACTATTAATATAAGAAACTAATTATCACTACATTTGACCATTTGAAAAATTCTGGTAAAGGCATTCATAAAATTAAATATGCATTTTTCAGTATGGTGGCATTTAAAGGATGAATATACTACTGTAAAGGCAGTAGACATCAGAGTCTACAAAAAATGCCAGGCGTATTTGTAGCTGTAAGCTACAATTTGTGACTGGCTGTCGTGAATCTATCAGAACTTTGATGAGTCAGAGAACCATTTCAGTATTTCTTTTTCAAAAAAAAAACAGAAATAAATTGTTCATAAAATCACAGAAATTAAGGCCACTATAAAAAAAAGAAAAAAATTTTAAACCACAGCTTAAAAAATAGACAAAGAAAGTTCATTTCAGCTATATTCAAGATGCCAAAAATAATACTTAATTTTGCTTAAGAGCTATGTGATTTCAAAAGGTAATACTACAAATATAGACTTTTAACTAATGGATATAAAATCATAGACATACAGTATTAGAAATGGAAAGAACCTCTATTTTGTCTTTTTTGTTACAGATAATGCAATAACTTTCCATTCCAAACTTTTAATTTAAAATTGACTGTTAGAAAAAGAAACTGGGAACTTTTTATTGACACTCTTCTGCTTTACCTGTGTCTAATATAAATTTCAAGTAAAATGTAACTTGTAAATCAGTTTCTAAAAGTTCCATAGAATAAATAATAATGCATAACTATACATCATTTTAAAATAATTTAGGCCAGGTGCAGTGGCTCACGCCTGTAATCCCAACACTTTGGGAGGCCGAGGCGGGTGGATCGCCTGAGGTCAGGAGTTCGAGACCAGCCTGGCCAACATGGTGAAACTCCGTTTCTACTAAAAATACAAAAATTAGCTGGGTGTGGTGGTGGGCACCTGTAATCCCAGCTACTCAAGAGGCTGAGGTAGGAGAATTGCTTGAACCTTGGAGGCAGGTGTTGCCTGTCAAGATAGTGTCATTGCACTCCAGCCTGGGCGACAAGAGCAAACTTCTGTCAAAAAAAAAAAAAAAAAAATTAATGTGACCACAGCTTGAGAAACAGAACAGTGTCATTCTAGGTATGTCGTTTCTGGAAAAGAGGATCAATTAAGGCAATTGAAACTACTGTAACTATATCAGACTTTTCATTAAACTCAGTCAAATTCATGGGTCTCCTTTTGTAAAGGGCACATAAATCAAGGGTGTTTATATAGAAGTTGAAGATGATTATGAAATTTTTAATGTAAATTATATAAATTTTAAGAAGCAAACCATTTGTATCTTTTTAGCCAAAATGACACACTTGTTTTTACTGAGTAATTATTATGGGTCCACTTATTTTTTCAATTCTTCTTTGGGCATACACCTAATAATAGTGGTACCTTCATAGAGGATTGATTATACAGACCAACACAGAAGAAACAGAATAAAATGTGCTGTTCAAGCTGCAAAAGGAACCACAAACTCTTTCCTTAAACAACAAAAGTAACTTATAATAGTAAATACAAGAATGGGAAGGTTTACTGACCAAACTGAAAGGATTTGCTTTAGAAACAGGTGGAGAACGGTAGTATCAGAATATAGGTTTAACTGCCTTTGTTTTCTGATTAAATGAAATTCATTCTTGGCCCATTAATAAAAATATACTGTTATACAGCACGCAGAAGGCACTATGCTAAGAGCTTAGGAAGATACAAAAGTGAATCCTCTCTCTCTCAAAAAAACAAAACAAAACAAAAAAACAAAGAAAAACCCTCTCTAGACTAGAAGGGGATATAAAAGATCAATTATCTGGGGAAAATGTAAGGATACAGTTTCTAGCTAGTACATTTTAATCATGAACCAAACTAGTATTATTTTAATTTTAATTTTATTTTGAATGTCCACAGTCTAAAAGACTCATGCCAAGGTGAACAATGATATTGTTTCTATGTTTAATGTGCTCATATGCCATAAAAATAGTTTGACGAATGAATATATAGAAGAGATACCTTAAAGTGACCTTTCTGTGAAGAAAAACAAATGCCACGCTTTTCACAATCTACTGTCCCTCAAGCAGGAAGAATAATACATAAAAAGATTAAGTTGAATAATAATAAAGTTGAGTAATGCATAACTATATAACTTGAATAATAATGCATACATAATAGTGCATAAGTTGAATACTACATAAAATAAAGAAACTGAAAAGAGATGCAAGATGATAGGCAAAGGATTAGCTGATGTTTCTATTGGTGGAAGGGAGGCAGGAGGTGCTGGTAGTTGATGAGGAAGAATTAGAGGCCAGTGATGGCTTGAAATCAGACAAAACAATTTAAATTTGATTTAGAAAGTAATAATTTAAAATCAATTGATTTTAGAAGAAAAAACTTTCCAAAAAATTGATTTTTTTTCTGTTCTCAGCGCCCTTTTCACTTGTACCTGGTTGGACCAAAAATTTTCTTCCTAGTCTCCACCAGGCCTTCCTCACCATGGCATTTTATAAAAACCAGCAGCTGGCATCGTATCTTTCAAACAGTATCTTTCTCATTGCAAGATCTACCACAGTATATCACATTTTTAAATAGCTCTTTTTCTTTGTTATTCCATTTTATTTAAACTTTAGTGAAGCTAATTTTCTTATGGCTTCCTTTAGGAGCAGAAGAAATATGTTTTTAACTCCTGCCATCCCTGGTCTATGACATTCCCTTGAACTAGAAAATGAGGCATTTCCACTCTCCTTATTTCTCCCATAGAACAATGTTTTATCCACTGAACAAACTTATTTTCTCCTTAAGTAATCTCTCTTGGAAAACCCTGAGTTCTAGATTTCATTAATGATCTTTTGTTTGTATCTTATATTACTTGATGGATTTTTCATTGTTATTTACTTGTATCCACTGAATATACTTTTTTTAAAAAGTTGACTAATGGCTTACCTCCTAAGGAACATGCTTTTATCAAAAACACAAAAAGATGCAGAGGCTGGAAGAATATGCTACTTGGGAAGAGAATGAAAAAAAAAAAGTAGAAATGAAAGAAAGAAGAGGTAAAGCAGGCACTGTGTCTAGGCAGCTTATTTTAGAATCTCTTGCATGTGAAAGCAACTGTATTATGAAGTGATGACTAGTAGT